GGTTGTATAAATATGATAAAAATGATAATAGTACCAAATGAAAAGTATTGTATAAGTTCAACATGCTGTTAATGCAGATGGTGGGAACAAAATTTTTTCCACCCGGGAATGATAATATTTCAGGAAAATGGATTATGGATAGAAATGAACATTTAAAAGATATTGTAGATAAGGGGGAATTATGTTCTTTTCACAACTTAAAAAATAAGAAGGAAATTTTTTTTATATTGGATTACTGGCTGTACTACCAATTAAGACATTTTGTTGCAATGCTCCCTACAGCCACTAGGGACAGAAGAAGACATGTATCCTTTAAAACAAATGTTTAGTTCAAACACAATATAAAATCATGCCACCTGTAGGATTTATAAGATCCTTACTGAATTAGTTGGATCGGAGTTCCAATCGTTCTTGGACAAGTATGAAAAGCTTGGAACAAAATTAAATGTGTAACAAAAAAAACAAAATGTTTAAATTAACACATGGGGCAGTGAATATGAATATAGTTGAAATGAATTGTAAATAAATGTGTCAGGAATGGACTCAGCACTGGTGGTGGGACTCGCCTGCCGTGTGGGCTGCAGTACCAGAGCTGACCAGCGGGTGCTCTCAGCACTGGTGGTGGAGCTCACCTGCCGTGTGGGCTGCAGTACCAGAGCTGACCAGCGGTGCTCTTAGCAGCCAGAAGCTCACAATCAGCCAAACCTGGGCTGATTGTAGAAAGGTGTATATAAGGCATGACCAGGCCTGTGCTCTGGGCCTTGGTATATGGTTTCCCATGAGCCTCTGTACCCTGTGTTCCTGCTTTGTTGCTGACCCGGCTTGATCCTGATCTCTGTTGACTGTCTCCTGTTCTGACTACTGGCTCATCCCTGACTATTCTTCTGCCTACTCCTATGCTGTTTGACCCCCTGTTGCTGTACCTTGGCTTGTGACCCGTTTACTCTTTGCCTGCTGCTCTGTACTGATCTGCCTCCACCATTACCGACCCGGCTTGTCTGACCACGCTAACTACTCTGCCATCCATCCATCCTGCACGGATCCAGCCGTACCTGCACATACCTCTGGCGGATCCCTCTACCACTAGCAGGTGTACTCAGGGGCCGCGACCTGGTCTCAGTCCTGCGCCAAGTCCATCCCCACCATCAGGGGCTCTGGTGAAAAGGCAGGCTGGGGCTTAGACTCCGCGCCCTGGGGAATCCTGCACTGAGGACCGCTAGAGGTACCACCAAACGGTCATTACAGAACCCTACGGCCGGCCTGACCGTTCCATCTCTCCAGCCCTGACTACGCCTGTGTTCCTGCACCTCCTAAAGATTAGTGGAAAGGTTGGTTTGTTCACTGTGCGTTTATATAGTTATATATCTGGGTGGCTAATAATAAACTGTATTATATTGTACCTGAGACCTGCGTTTCCCTGTGTCAGTCCACACCTTTCTGGTCACTCCTTGATTCCTGACATCACACCAAGGCCTTTCCTGACCAGAAGTGGCTGCACAGGGAAGCCATCTTGACTTGTTGTGAAGGATGCATCCTGATGAGGTTATATATTTGTCTATGCTAGTCTTTGATGACAGAGAATATGCCTATCAGACTCTGCGGGAGTATACCAGGGATCAGCTGCTAGAGTGCATACGGGTCGCTCATTCCCTAGTAGGTCAGGACCTAGAGCTCTCTGAGGTGCAACCATTGATTCAGGCTTGTGTTGAGTTGGCTTCATCTAGTACCCCTAAAAGCAGGGATGAATTTCTTCCTCCATTCAGGGCGAGTCAAATAATATCATTGGTATGGTTGTTGGAAGATGATCCGGATTGCTTCTTGGAGCATTATTCAGCATGTTCACCACATGTGCTAAAGAAGTGTATAAACGCAGTGCAATCTTTGACCAGACAGGCCTTGTGTAAGCTGAGCGTTGTCCAACCCTTACTGCAGACATGGTCAGACTTGTTACACCCAGCCTCAATCAGCTTGCAACAAACCAGTCCTGTTTCTCATCATTCCTCTGCTCAAAGCTCTTTTCCTGCATTCCCAACAGCACCCCCAGTGACAGCCCCCCCAGTGACAGCCCAGTATACCCAGCAATCTACCACATGTCAGTACCCTGCTCCCACTCACTGTACCATCGTGCCAGTTGACTTGGTGCCCGCTGTCATGCCAGTTGACTTGGTGCCCGCTGTCGTGCCAGTTGACTTGGTGCCCGCTGTCGTGCCAGTTGACTTGGTGCCAGTTGACTTGGTGCCTGCCGTCGTACCAGTATGACTCGGTGCCCGCTGTCGAGCCAGATGACTTGATGCCTGATGATTCGGTGCCCGCTGTCGTGCCAGTTGACTCGGTGCCCGCTGTCGTACCAGTTGACTCGGTGCCTGCTGTCGAGCCAGATGACTTGATGCCTGATGATTTGGTGCCAGTTGACTTGGTGCCCGCTGTCGTACCAGTTGACTCGGTGCCAGTTGACTCGGTGCCCGCTGTTGAGCCGGATGACTTGATGCCTGATGACTCGGTGCCCGCTGTCATGCCAGTTGACTCGGTGCCCGCTGTCGAGCCAGATGACCTGATGCCTGAGGACCCAGTGCCCGCTGTTGAGCCACATAACCTGATACCAGATGACTTGGTGCCCGCTGTCGTGCCAGTTGATTCAGTGCCCACTGTTGTGCCAGTTAATTTGGTGCTTGGTGACCCGGTACCAGCGGTTCTGCTAGATGGCTTGGTGCCCGCTGACGTGCCCGGTGATTCTGTGCCCATTGTCGTGCCAGATGACTCGGTGCCCCGCTGACGTGCCTCTGCCCCGCTGCACAGCCCGACATGCCAGCCCCTGATGTCCAGTTAAACTGGCCCATAACTGATACCCAGCCTGCTCCTGGAGATCCTGTGCCCAGTGACCTGCCTTCCTGGGTTCTCCTACATGGGGAGAGGTCTGCCAGCAGGAAACCCGGCCAGCCGGTTTACTCCGGCAGTGGGATATTCAGCCAGTTGCCTGACCCGGGCGGTGGAACATTTTGCCCACTAAGGACTGTTTGGAGCGTACTGAGGCCGCTCCTTGAGGGGGGGTACTGTCAGGAATGGACTCAGCACTGGTGGTGGGACTCGCCTGCCGTGTGGGGCTGCAGTACCAGAGCTGACCAGCGGGTGCTCTCAGCACTGGTGGTGGAGTTCACCTGCCGTGTGGGCTGCAGTACCAGAGCTGACCAGCAGGTGCTCTTAGCAGCCAGAAGCTCACAATCAGCCAAACCTGGGGCTGATTGTAGAAAGGTGTATATAAGGCATGACCAGGCCTGTGCTCTGGGCCTTGGTGTATGGTTTCCCATGAGCCTCTGTACCCTGTGTTCCTGCTTTGTTGCTGACCCGGCTTGATCCTGATCTCTGTTGACTGTCTCCTGTTCTGACTACTGGCTCATCCCTGACTATTCTTCTGCCTACTCCTATGCTGTTTGACCTCCTGTTGCTGTACCTTGGCTTGTGACCCGTTTACTCTTTGCCTGCTGCTCTGTACTGATCTGCCTCCACCGTTACCGACCCGGCTTGTCTGACCACGCTAACTACTCTGTCATCCATCCATCCTGCACGGATCCAGCGTACCTGCACATACCTCTGGCGATCCCTCTACCACTAGCAGGTGTAACTCAGGGGCCGCGACCTGGTCTCAGTCCTGCGCCAAGTCCATCCCCACCATCAGGGGCTCTGGTGAAAAGGCAGGCTGGGGCTTAGACTCCGCGCCCTGGGGAATCCTGCCCTGAGGACCGCTAGAGGTACCACCAAACGGTCATTACAGAACCCTACGGCCGGCCTGACCGTTCCATCTCTCCAGCCCTGACTACGCCTGTGTTCCTGCACCTCCTAAAGATTAGTGGAAGGTTGGTTTGTTCACTGTGCGTTTATATAGTTATATATCTGGGTGGCTAATAATAAACTGTATTATATTGTACCTGAGACCTGCGTTTCCCTGTGTCAGTCCACACCTTTCTGGTCACTCCTTGATTCCTGACAAAATGTCTAGTAAGATGGTATGTTACACCTAATGTGATACACAAAGACCAAAGGTCTCACCTTTGTGTTGGAGAGGGTGTGGGATTAAGGGAACAATGGCACATATTTGATGGGATTGCCTTAAAATACAGGAATTTTTCCGGGTGAGAATTCAATACATACAGGAGATACTGAGGATTAGTATACCGTTAGACCCATGGGTTTGTTTATTCCACAAATCTGAGACTTCAATGAAGCAACATAAGAATATGATACTATTTCATTTAATAAACGCAGCCAAAGGTCTCATTCCCAAATTCTGGCAAGCAATAGAGCCCCCCAAAATAAAAGATTGGATAAATAGAGTTAAATATGTATAAGATGGAAGAACTATACCATATTGATGAGGATAAAATTGAAAATTTTTAAAAATCTTGGGGAGGATGGTGGAACAAGAAGTAATCGAAAAGAATAAGTAGATAAGGGGTATAATTGAAAGGGGGGGGGGGGTTAAGGGTGGAAGGGAATAGATATATTTATGTGGAATGTGTGTTTATAATGTTTGATATAATGTGGATTTTGTATTACAAAACTAATAATGAAATAATGAAGAAAAAATTACCTTTAATGCCTAAATGAAAAATAAAGGGGTGCTAATGTGCTTGTGGATGTATCAAATATTTCCAATAATCACTTACAGCAGTCCTAAATTCTGAACTTAAAATCACAAACTAAATAAATAAATAAATAAATAACCATATGGACCACGCATAATAAGTGCAAAAATCAGCATAAATAGTATAACGTAATAAACAGAATAAAATAATTCAGTTCCAATAAGTGAAAAATTGGTGCAGAGTGCTGATATTCTTGATTGTGAACTCCTTTTACAATACAACAGGTGCTCCACTGTGCTCCGAATAGTGCCCCCACATGGACTGATACAAGGGGTGGACTGACCATTTGGAAACTCGGGCACTTCCCGAGGGCCCGGGGGTCAGTAGGGGGCCCCATGAGATGCCCCTGGTACCTTTTTCATAGGCTTTTTTGAGTTTGGGCAAGGACACAGGGGCCTTGTACTCACTTTTGTTGCCAGCGGTTCAGACATTAATGGCTGTGTGTTGAGTTATTTTGAGGGGACAGCAAATTTACACTGTTATACAAGCTGTACACTCACTACTTATACTTACTTACTACATTCTAGTAAAGTATCATTTCTTCAGTGTTGTCACATAAAAATAGAATAAAATATTTACAAAAATGTGAGGGGTGTGTACTCACTTCTGTGAGATAAGAATAAAATATATTTACAAAAATGTGAGGGGTGTACTCAATTCTGTATACTGTATGTTCATATGTACGCACTTAGTCTATGTTTGTATATATACAGTATATATATTCTTTTTTTCATGTCAATGCAATCCCCTAGGTGTCGCCGCGACAACTCATTTGAGGCGCATTCTTTTCAATGTACCCACTCTGATTGGTCACTTTGTTAATCATTCCAGTTTCACCCCTACTTACTATAAGTAGTGGCTCCTATCACAGGGTTTACGGTCTGAGGAAGGAGTGTCTGCACATGCTCTGAAATGTGTTACCGCCCCCTCTTGACATCACGTCCAGCGCGTGCGTTCCATGCCTCTCCTGGAAGTACGGCAGCCATCCTGCCCGTGCGTTCCACCACACTCACTACCGCTGGTCGGCTCAGTGTGTCTCCCTGACATTATACCTGATGAGCTTTTATCTGACTGCTATCTTGTAAGTGCTTTTAACCTTTACTACTCAATAAACTGCTGCATACTGCACTTAGAGGCGCCTTCCCTGCTATTTACTGCAAATATGGCAACCTTCTAGTCCCTTGTTGCTTATTTTAGTTATGTCATCCATATGTCATCCATTCCTGCACCACAGTGGTAAAAATGTTCCTATAATATGTCTATTGCTAGCCCTGAACAAAGTGACACAGATCCCCGAAACATGCTGGTTTGCTGCATATCCAATACGTGTTTTCAGTTATTTTAAAAGCTTAGTGTCCACTTTAAAGGGGAGCTCCAGTCAAACTGAAAAAAAAAAATAAAAGTTAGCAGCTACAAAAACTGTAGCTTCTATTAAAAAACAGACACTCACCTGTCCCTTGATCCAGCAGTGTCCTCAGCGCAGCCAGTTTCACTGGCCATCCTCTCTCCCCATCTTAAGTATGGGCAGCTGGCTGTAACAGCTTGTTGCTTTGAAGCTGGATGCCCACTGCGCATTTGTGAGTAGCAATGCACCTTGTGAGTGGTCTTGTAGTCTTCTGGTCTTCTGGTGTAGTCTTCTGGGACCTGTCACGTGTCCCAGAAGAGTAAGGAAGGCAGGAAAAACAACTTCCTCTTCCGATCACCGAGGCGGTTGCAGCGGAAACGTTCTTGTTAGCTCAGAGGAAGAGGCAAGTCCAGCCTGTTGGATGTCCTATTGTTCTGTCATGGGTTGTGATAAATTGACTGGATGTTGCTGCTTTTATAGGATGAACTTTTGATATATTCGTCATTTGTGAGTATAATACTTACCACTTTTACTTCCCCAGTCATTTGAGGGCAGCAAGGCAAGAGCTATCCAAGAGAGCCAGGATGAGAACATTGTTATCATTGTCATCTGTTATCTTTGAGCCCACTTCCAAGAGCAGCAGATTTTGTGTTTGTCATTGACTTAGAGAAGTGGGAGTGGGTACCTGTCAAAATCGAGTAACTGCTCCCCCAAGGTGCCAATCCTCTATGGGGAGTGGGGAATGAGGCCTTAAAGTGGAACTTCCTCTTTTGGGTGGAGCTACGCTTTAAGTTTATGTTGGATACAGGCCTGGACTCTGCTGGTAGACTGAAGTAGTCATGACTTTCTACTCCATTTGCTGGACCATTCTGGGAGGAAAAGCTCCAACATTTCTGGGTAGTTGATGCTTTTTACTAAGACCCCACACATTTACTATGATAGGCAGCCTCACCAGCCAATGGGAATGTGAAGGAGGAAAGGGAAACAAGCAAGCTTCAGACCTATCAGGAAGTGTCAGAGTTTGGCTTTTCAGAATGGACCAGCATTCACCCATGAAAGAAAGGCTGGAGAGGCAGCTGAACTTCTCACATGCAACAGTTTGTCCCTTTCCCCAAGTTACAGAGTCCCTTCAATATGTTTCTCTAGGCAAAACCTTATTTTTGATAGAATGGGAAGGGGTTTTATTATTGTTGTCTGCATCTCCACTGGGGAAATGTACCCCTTTATTGATACCAGTAACCATTGTCATCTAGAAGGAAAATGAGGGAAAAATTCAACATTTTAGGCTCCTTTTACACAGGTGATCTGATCAAGTCCACCTGGCAGTTTTTCAGGCAGGCCTGATCAGATGGTCCATGTATCCTTATGAACCGGCAGGTGTAAATGGACTTGTGTCTGTTTACACCCACCTTCCTCCAATCCAATCCAATACGGTCCACTAAAAAAAAACGTAAAAAGATCCATCCCCTTCTGTTTAGGCAGTTTGGATCGGACTTCACTGTACGTTTACACCCAGCTGCCCATATAGCAGAGCAGGCATGTCCACTCATTAACTGATCAAACATGAACCCTTCTCCTGACATGCCTTTTAACAGGGAGATCCCCCTGATGCTTTGGAAGCTGTCTGCGGACCATGGCTTTTGCTGTAGGATGTGACTAAGAAAATGTCAGGAAAGACCTACTAGAACAGCTGAACGTTATTTGGGGTAATCGGAGGCACTTTAAATTATGTCAGGTGTTTTTTGACTCCTATTTAACATGATTTTGAATGTGATTGCTTAATTCTCAACACAGCTGCATCCCCAGTTATAAGAGGGTGTGCACACTTATGCAACCACATTATTTTCGTTTTTTATGTTTACTCCCCCCCTAAAAGATTTCAGTTTGTTTTTCAATTGAATTTAATAGTTTATAGGTCCCATTAAAGGTGGAAAAAGTTCTGAAATTATTTATCTGTGTCTAATTTATTTACATCAAAGAAACTTGTGATCTTTTATATCCACTGTACATATACAAAGGCAAATTTAGACAGGAGTCAAATAACCTACCAGCATGTCTTTGGAGTGTGGGAGGAAACCCAGTCAGGCACAGGAAGAACATGCAAACACCAGGCAGGTAGTGGCACGGTTGGGATTCAAACCAACAACTCACAACCCTAGTGCTGCCAAGCGGGAGTGCTAACCACTTATCCACTGTGCTGTACCCATTATCTGCCTTTAGCCTGCCTTTCCACCTCAGCCAATCAGAGGAAGACTTGTATTTATTCCCACAAGGCTTCCTGCTATGTCCAAGCAGCGCTCAGCCCAATTTAATTTTGTTCTGCTAATAGAACAGAAATGTTCCGTACTGTTATGGGAACAGAGCGCGGTATACTGTATGCAGCTAATGCTACATTCAGTCTACAAAACGCACACAACCTGCACATGTATTAGTGAAGGAAATTGTTTGTTTGTACCAGCCTGCTCCAAACAAACTATTTAAAGTTAAGTGAAGCCTGAAGTTCAGCTTTTAGAATTGATAAATTTCAATATATAAAATTTTTATTTTTGAGTTTAGATACACTTTAAATTAAATAAAATGAGGTTGCCAACCTGGCTGTGTTGTCTAGAAGGACTGTGCAAATCTCAGGACTGGATGTACAAAATCTTTGACAAGCAAAACATCTCCATGAGTATGTATCCCAACTGTGTATTTAACATTTCAGCTTTATTATGCAAAACGAATCCAGCACATCAATATAATGTACATGTTTGCACAGAGGTAAGTGAAAGCTTATGTAAGGCTGGCATATATCTGCTCAAGCATAATTAACAAAGCTCATCAACATTCATCTGCATTTGAAAAGACAGCATTTTTGTAACCTCAAACATTATGTACTAGGAGAGCATACATTATTGTTGTTAGATAATGATCAGTACTTGCAGGATTGGCAGTTGTAGATTACAATTGTAACACATTGGCAGGGATTGCAGGCTATGTTTAGTTAGGTTAACCACAAATTATCCTAGAATGTGCTATTTGATCTACTTTGCCTGTTCACACAGACACGCCTTAGGGAACTCCAGCATTACACACGTGTGCAGTTTGGCTTGATAAGCAATTAACCAATATAATTTATTGTCTTGTATTTTTCATACAATGAAACTGTATACAATTAGATTGCTGATTACTCTGTATAATATTTATTGAATTTGTATAATATATATAAACTTTATATTTCCAATGAGAGTGATAAGTTAAATGTTATTGCTATTCTGTGTCGTTTGTCTTGTTTTTCCTGATTCACTGGCTAGGAACAAGTATACATGCCAGGAGATCTGATTTCACTTGCTGCATGCTTGTTTTCTTTAGGACTGAGAAAGCACTAAATCTAGAGACAGCCTGACAACTTTCATTTTCAGAAAGAGGTCAGCAATGGAATCCTCTATATCAGGTCTTGAATTAAAATTTACGGAGATCTTGTCCGCAAAATTTCCTTCCAGCAGAGGTCCGAATCTCAATAGCGATATATCACATCACAGTCCCCTGGTACATTATCATCTTTAATGTACCTTTCACACTGTAGTCCCCTACATCACATTCCCCTCTTTAAAGAAGTCCCAACACAGTGCCCCTTAACAGAACATAGCACCCCTTAACACAACGCAGCACCCCCATCACAACACAGCACCCCTTAACACAACACAGTGCCCCCATCACAACACAGCACCCCTTAACACAGTGTCCCTTAACACAACATAGTACCCCTTAACACAACACAGTGCCCCCATCACAACACAGCACCCCTTAACACAGTGTCCCTTAACACAACATAGTACCCCTTAACACAACACAGTGCCCCCATCACAACACAGCACCCCTTAACACAGTGCCCCTTAACACAACATAGCACCCCTTAACACAACACAGTGCCCCCATCACAACACAGCACCCCTTAACACAGTGCCCCTTAACACAACATAGCACCCCTTAACACAACACAGCACCCCCATCACAACACAGCGCCCTTTAACACAATACAGTGCCCCCATCACAACAGAGCACTGCTTAACACAACACAGTGCCCCTTAACACAACATAGCACCCCTTAACACAGCACCCCCATCACAACACAGCGCCCTTTAACACAATAGAGTGCCCCCATCACAACACAGTGTCCCTTAACACAACAGTGCCCCTTAACACAGTGCCCCTTAACAGAACATAGCACCCCCTAACACAACACATGCTCCCATCACAACACAGCAACGTTTAACACAACACAGCTCCCCATCACAACACAGCACCGCTTAACACAACACAGTGCCCCTTAACACAACACAGTGCCCCTTAACACAACACAGTGCCCCCATCACAACAGAGCACCCTTAACACAACACAGTGCCCCCATCACAACAACAGAGCACCCCCCATTAACACAGTGCCCCTTACAGAACATAGAACCCTTTAACACAACACAGTGCTCCCATCACAACACAGCATCCTTTAACACAACACAGCTTCCCATCACAACACAGTGCCACTTAACACAACATAGCACTACTTAACACAACACAGTGCCCCTTAACACAACATAGCACCCCTTTCTACAACACAGTGCCCCCATCACAACACAGCACCCCTTAACCATATTCCGACTGCCCTATAGCAGATATATTGCTAGAGGGTTGCAGGGGTGCACAAAATCACGTATATATATGTGATTTTCGATCTCCGGGTAGGGGGCGCGCGTGTGAGCCAAGCTAGCTCCCTACCCACACCACCATTCGTGGTTGCGGCTGTCAATCACTGGGTCCCGCCCGGTGATTACTCGCCGGCGCCTGGTGATTACACAAAAAATGGCCTGTTTAGGAAGGGGGGTTAATCCTCAGGAGGGCAAGTGGTTAACACAACACAGTGGCCCTTTACACAAGACACTGCCCCTTTACACAACACAGTGCCCATAACACAACACAGCGCCCATAACACAACATAGCACCCCTTAACATAACACAGCGCCTCTTTTAATGCAATCCTTGCCCTGCACAGTCCTATGGTACCTTAGGCAGAGCAGAGGCACCAATCCTTCCGGGGTGTCCTCTCCTGGGCCTGCAGCCCACCACTGATGTCATCCTCATAGCGGTGGGAGGAGCTACAGATTGGGACTGAGGGGCGGGAGCTGCCCAAGTTATTATATTAACAAGTGGGTGATTGCCTGGTTTGCTAATATGAAAAGACTCCCACTCTCTGTCTCGAGCTGTGGAGAACAGAAGTCTTTACATATTAATAAATCACCAGCTCCTGCCCCTCAGTCCCAATCTGCAGCTCTTCACACCCTGCCCACTGTGAGGATGACATTGGTGGCTGAGTGAGAGGCCTGGAAGAGGATACCCAGATGTGGCAGTGGCATGGCTGTGGTCCGGACAGGACTGTTCCTCGGTCCGGTTCCAGACCACGGTCCACCATTTAGTGACCACTGCTCTATATTTTACCCACAACAGGTTTCTTTGCAACCCACATGCACCCCTTCCTTTACACTAGGTTCACACCTAAGTGTTTTCTGCAGCATTTTGCAGAAACACAGTACAGTCCATTTAACATGATTTCCTATGGGACATATTAACATCTGCGTGTTTCACCCAGTGTGTTTTTTGGAAAGGGTCATGGACTTTTTTGAACGCAAAAAGTTCAGTTTTTGGTTCTATAGACTTCAATGGAAACGCTGCAGAAAAGTATGTGTTGTGTTTTTGCTGTGTTTTGCGTTTTAAATCTGCATAGCAACAAGAAAAATAAAATAAAAATGAACCCCCCCCCTTGCAAAACGCATCAAAAACGCGCCAAAAATGCAGGTACAAAAACTTTGGGGTAATGAAGCACAATATTTAATCTAACCATACATTAGCCAAAAATCACTTGACCTCGTTTTTGAATAATGAGCACTCGGCCGTGAGAGCAAACGATAGTACCATCATGTAATGGTCAAATTTCGAACGATATATCGTTCAATGGACATAACTGAATCAGTTTTTCGTTAGTTTTGTCACATATGCACAGTAGGAACAGTTTTATTTTTAACAGGCGAGAAACACATTAACCTTTCAATTTATCATTCGATCACCAGAAATTTTCCAACCTGTTCCTTCAATTTTTTGGTTCTAAGGCCTCGTTCACACCATACGCGCAGAAAAACTGATGGAAACTGACACAGAGATTTCACTTGCATCAGTTTTCATGCATGCTTCAATTACTTTTATACACATTGCAGATTGAGGTGCAGAAAAAAATCTTTTTTGGTTCTATAGACCTGCCTAGCAACAAGAAAAATGAAAAATAATGAAAAAAAAAATTCAAAACACAGCAAAAATTAAGCAAAAATACAGGTGCAAAACGCAATGCAAAAACGGCTCAAACACAAACTGCATAGGTGTGAACCTAGCCTCAAGTATGCTTTTTATACTCACTGTGGAAACTAAGGGGTTATTCCTCTGCATTGTGTAAAAAGGCTATTTGATCCTGTCTTCTCTGATCCTCCACTTCTTCTACTGTCCCCAGTCCATCTGCTGATTGTACAGAGCTCTAGGGGACACTCTGCACATGCTCAGTTTGGTGTGTATTGCTAGAGAGGTTTTTTTTCCTTTGAAAGGGTGCACGTGATCAGCACAGGGTCAATCAGCACTGTCCATACAGAGGGTCAGGGGTCCTACAGCCTCATAGGACAGTCAGAGGAAAATTAAAACTCCTATAAGCTTTAACCAGTGCTCAGCTGGACACTGATAGAAGTCTCATGGCTGCTAAATACTGCTGATGAAAAAAAAGTATTTAGCAGTTTATAGTTACTACAAAAATTGCATTTCCATGTCCTGTGTACTGTGGGAGACCAGATATAGTGAATGCAGGGTCCTGGGTTTAGGAATATTTTAAGTTGTGGAGTACCTTTACCAAGCCCTTATGACAAAATAAGCAATTCCGGGTTAAAATGAATGTATGAATTAATATTTTGTCAATAATAATATAAATGTACAGGTTTCCAATAATGAACTTATAACAAACTGTTGCAATACAATTTTGTCATATAACAATTTTGACTGGATCGGTGAGAGGCTGAGCCATGTGCCACTCCAGACTCTGGGGTGAATCCTGACTTTAAAGTCGGGATCTTTCCTCAGCTGAAAATAGGTCACAGGAGTGCAGAATGAACTGCACTCCTGTGATCCACAGGAGAAGTACGGCCAAAAGAGCTTTGAAGTTACTTCTCCTTTAAATGTATTCAGTGTGATTTGTAGGTAGCTTTTTTGCAAGAAATGTGTATACCTTGTGAGAGACATGCATACAAGCATATTGTACTTTATGTAATTGTATTGCAGTTTAACAAAATTATTCACAGAAGTAAACTCAGTTTTGGAATGAAACACAACGCTGCTTCTGTCAGTTTTGTTAGCTAGCTGTCGCTAACCGTTAGTAGGACAGCATATGGACATCTTCCAAATTCTTTAACCACTTGCCAACCACGCTATAGCCGAATGGCAGCTACAGCATGGTTATCCAGATTTGGGAGGGCGTTATATGACGTCCTCCCAGAACACGCCCTCCTGCGCGCCCCTGGGGGTGCGCAGTCGGTGATCTCTGCGCTGTGTCCTATGGACACAGCTGATCACGTGGTGTGGTAAAAGGCCAATCACAGCGATCTCTGTGATCACACTGTCACAGCTGTCACAGTGTGAGGAAAGTATTGCCGATAACCAGCAATTGTCAGAGGATGGATCAGCACCGGTCATCAGGGCACTGATGACCATTGCCCTGATGATCAGTGCCCAGCAGTGCCACCCACCATTGCTTCCCACCTGTGCCCAGCAGTGCCACCCACAAGTGCCCAGCAGAGGCCCCATCAGTGCCCAGCAGTGACACCACCACCTGTGCTCATCAGCGCCTAGTAGTGCCACCCACATGTGCCTGGAAGTGCCCTCATCAGTGCTGCTCAGCAGTGCCACTCATCAGTGCCCATCAGTGCCGACAGTCAGTGCTGTCAGTCAGTGACACCCATCAGTGCCACCTATCAATGCCCATCATTGTTGCATATCAATGCAGCATCATCAGTGCCAGCTCATCAGTGCTGCCTCTCAGTGCTGCCTCATCAACGCACATCAGTGAAGGAGAAAAATTTCTTGTTTGCAAAATTTTATAATAGAAACAAAGAAAAACTTTTTTTTTTTTAATTTTTTGCTGTTTTTTTGTTTATAGTGCAAAAAATAAAACACCCAGTGATGACTAAATACCACCAAAAGAAAGCGATATTTGTGTGAAAAAAATTATAACAATGTCATAAGGGTACAGTGTTGCATGACCACGCAATTGTCATTCAAAGTTCGACAGCGCTGAAAGCTGAAAACTGGCCTGGGCATGAACTGTCACAGAGAACATTTGCACTGATAATCAGAGCACTGATGATCAGTTCCCTGATCATCAGTGCCGCCCAGCAGTGCCCAGCAGTGCCACCCACCAGTGCCCAGCAGTGCCACCCTGCAGTGCCCAACAGTGCCACCCACCAGTGCCCAACAGTGCCACATATCAGTGCCCAGCAGTGCCACTTATCAGTGCTGCCAGCAGTGCAGTTGCTCCCATCGGTGCCCAGCAGTGCCGCCCATCAGTGCTATCAGTCAGTGCCACCAGTCAGTGCTGCCCATCAGTGCCCATCAGTGCTGCCTGTCAGTGCCCATCAGTGCCACCTATCAGTGCCCATCATTGCTGCATATAAGTGCAGTCTCATCAGTGCCTCCTCATCAATGCCCACCAGTGCTGCCTCATCAATGCCACCTCATCAGTGCTCATCAGTGCTGCCTATCAGTGCAGCCTCATCAACGCACATCAGTGAAGGAGAAAAATTACCTGTTTGCTAAATTTTATAATAGAAACAAAGAAAAACTTTTTTTTTTCAAATTATGTGCTATTTTTTTGTTTATAGTGCAAAAAATTAAACCCCAGTGGTGATTAAATACCACCAAAAGAAAGCTCTATTTGTGTGAAAAAAATTGATACAAATTTCATATGGGTATAATGTTGCATGACCACGCAATTGACATTCAAAGGGCAATAGCACTAAAAGCTGAAAATTGGCCTAGGCACGAAGGGGGTAAAAGTGCCCTGTAGGCAAATGGTTAAGGGCATCATGGGCCCCTGGGCAAAGTAATTTACAGGGACCCCTACCAGAGGGATGGGGCATACATGGGATGCACAGGTGTTGCGTGCATCCCCTTACAGGAAGTCTCATTCATGTCAATTCAGATGCAGCAGCTGCACGGACTCATCCATGTGGGTCCCTGAATCCAAATTATCTGTGTTTGGGAACCTGCACCCACATGTATGTCAAATTCAGAGCAGTGGCTCTGTCTGAGTTGACATGAATGGAACTGGCTGCATGGGGATGCATGCTACACCTGTGCATCCGATGCCTGTACAGGCAAACACGTCTCTCACATGGGTGTACACTTAGGTATACCTGTGTGAACACGGCCTAACAGTAACATACAGACATACATACACACACATGCATATAAATATACTTATACATACCCATACATACTGTACATACAGTACATACATATGTTCCAACACACACACCTATACTCATACATAAACTCACATACATACATACATAGCCTTTTGAAAAACCAAAGCTACTGTACCTGACTGACCGTCATTCGCCACCTGCACCACCCCAAAATCCAAATTTTGAAGTGCCACCAGAACAAGAATAGAGGGGAAATCTTCCAATACAAGCATTAATTCTGTTGATGCTGGTGTCTACCAGGGATTTCCTTCACCTTGGAGTTGTGGCTATGGAACAGACAATTAGGGAAATCTGCCCAATAGGACAGAGATAGCAAAAAAAAATAAAAATACCGACAGAGGTTACAACTCTCCCCTACTTTAACCAAAATGAAAGGAAAACATTTGCATTCGGTTTTACGTAATATTCCACTGAGCTGATTAAAGCAAATTTTGATGCTTTTTAGTAAGCTCTGCAAATTCTAATACTGGCTTTAGTGCAATCAAATATAATGATTTCATAGTAAGATTAGTTATAATTGTAGCAATATAATGATGACTTGACCTGTCTGTGCTCTCCCCCTGCTATCCCACAATTCTGTCACTGCCCACAGTCTAGCTCGGTGACTTGTTCCGGCAGAATTATCATTGTACTGTATTTCATTGTATATTATAATTGAACATGTCTTCTCTTTTGTTCAAATAAGCAGTCTTATAGAAGTGTAGTGAGCAGTGTCCTTCAATATTTGTATTTCCTTGTTTGCTGTGCTTTGTTAATCCTTGCATGTGTATTTTATGGTTTTTCAAGATTGTAAAGTTTATGGAATGTGTTAGGGCAAAGTAGACAGTACTAGTATTAATAGAAATGAACTGCAAGTATGTTAATCACTTCAGCTCTAAAGCATCCCCCACCCTTCCCAGGCAGTCAAATAACCATGTGATTGATATACATTAATATTAATAATATTAATAATTCCTTGCCCACATGACTGGGAGAGTTGGGACAGCTGAAAAAGTCTGGGAGACTGAGAAAGCTGGGGCGACTAGGCAAGTCCAGGGGACTGAGGGAGTCTGAGTCTCGGTGGAGTAAGAGAGCCAGATGTGTCAGGAGAACCCCTACTGAGAAGCCAGAGAGTGAGACCATGCTGCAAGGAGCAGCACATGGAAATTTGTACTGACCAAGTTGACACCAGGAATTATAATAGCTGCACGAAGCAATGAGTGTTGTGGACTGAGGGTCTGCAAACTGAAGGCTGAGAGCCAAGAGAGTTGGGAAAGATGGTCTTATGGACCAGTCCAATGCAAAAGGCCAAAGTTTAGGGCCTAAGCAGTGGTGCTGATGGGAGAGCTAGGTAGCTTAGCATTTTCTGTCCCTGCTCATGTTGTTTGAAGCTGACACCCGTGTGGGCAACAGCTGAGTTGAACTTCAAAGCACAGTTCAAACTGGTTTGGATTCACTTAATAAACATATACCACTGAGCTAAACATTTCCCATATCACAGTTAGCACTTCCTATTGAAGTTCTGCTTTAACTACATATCTTCATAATGTACTGTATATACATGAAGGAGGATTTATCAAAAACCCACTAACAGTTTTCATGTTGCTCCCACCTTTTAGTACATTTGCATGCAGGATACACACCAGTAGGAGTAATCTGAGGACAAGGATTTGCATATTTTACAATTCCAGCCCATTCAATATATTTTTGTCACAGTTGAATTCTCATAAAATAAATTTCAACAGCCTTCTTTGATTCACAAACAGGGTAGCTGTTACAAGAATCTGTTGAAATCAAATTTATTTATTGACAGGGGTCTAATTTCTTGGGCACCTTTCCAATGGCTTTCTAAAATTTCAAACATTTCTGGCAGATAGACTTTGTTTTCCTGTAACGCAACGCTTCATTGGTGCCAAATTTTAATTGAATCTCTTTTGTATTATAGTCTTTACACAGCAGCATGAGCAATTAGCTAGGCTGAGTGATTCAGTTTATTGTAAGTTGTAGCAACACCTTTATCATTATTCCAGTTCATATAACGCCTGCCCCGAAGCCTACATAAGAAACTTAGCTGGGAAATGTTTCTTCTACCTTTAGCAAGCCCC